TCGCCCCTTATCTTTACCCCTCTGAAGAGGGGCGGCTGCCGGTTCCTCTGGACATCCCCTGGAATCCCCAAAACTGGCAAGGTGTGAGTGACCCGTCCAGGCCTGGGCTGACCTAGGGAACCTCCCACCGTTCTTCTACCTTTCAGCTGTCCCTTTGTAGCCGAAGCGGCCCCACACTGCATCGGCCTTTCTACCTCTCTCAGGCCTCCTTCCCTCCCTCTCTCTGCCCACTGGGAATTTCGGAATGAAAGTGCTATTGTGAACGCCTGGCTAGGCCACTGAAGGGCCAGCACTGTTATTTCTGCAAACCAGCCCTCCCATTAGCCATGCAGGGCCCAGGCCAGGAAAATGTTACCTTTTCCTCCTCGAGCTGACTGCAGGGGAAATTCTCACATTTACAGTTTGTGCAGTGGTTGTGTTTGGGGGGCAGGAGGGGAGGGTGGGCGCGTGTGTGTGGTTTGCATGGGGCTGGGTGGGGGGCTCCTTTCCCTCGCTGCCCCTCTCCTCTCTGCCTTCCCTGATGACCTTTCCCTTGGCGTTGATGGGGGGGCACCCCCACATCTGTTCTGGGCTCTGGGAGAATGGATGTTGCTGGTTACAAGTGAGCCCCACAGGCTGTCAGTAAATAAACTAATCTCCTCCCCTCCCCTGCACATGGGCAGCAGCACGAAAACCGTGTGCCGGGGGTCTGGGTGGGGAGGAGTGGCAAGGGGGCTGCTGAGCCAATCAGGAGGGTGGAAGGCAGGGGAGGTGGGAACAGGGACTAGCTGGCTGTTTAAAATGCTCTTGGAAGATGCAGAGAATTAAAAGGGTTTCTGTTTGTGAGATCTTTAGAGGTGGAAAGCCATTGCCTCCATCCCCCTGCCTCCAGACAGGCCGCACTGAAGACATTTTAATGCATAGTTATTAAACACGGTAAAGAAGCTCCCTAGAGTTTTCATCCAGTAGGGGTTTCCCAGGAAGTGAGAACAGTTCTGATTCCAGGGAGTGCTATTTGTGATCTGGCCTCAGACTTCTCTGCTCACCCATCCGTGCAGTGGACGAGCCGACTACTGCTTTCCACCCCTTTCCTGCGCCAGTCTCTCTCACTCTGCCCTCAAACTTCCAACAGCTGGGGTAGCTGCAGCCCCACAGGCTTGTTGGCATCTGGACTGCCCCATTCTCAAAGAGTTGTCATTGTGTGGAATAAACACTTTTGCTTTGGGGGGGGTGTGTGGTCAAGAAAGGAGATGACAGCTCAGACCACCCTGTGAGCTATGTGGAAGGTCCTGACTTTAGAACCATGTTTCAATCCTTGTTTCTTGGCTCCTCCCAAGACACAGAAAGTAGGGTGGTGTTTGGAGTAGGGGACCCAGCAAAGGGGCTACAGCTGGGACACAGAAGCAGCAGGGAGCTCAATGGGGAGGGAGCAAGGACCTGAAAGTTTTTTGGTGCAGTCAGAGAATGGGAGGGATGCCTTGCCCAGGCAGAGTGGGGATCCAATCAGTTTCAGGGTGTCAGCCTAGGGCAGGCCATGCTGACGAGCTCACCTGGTTGCCTCTCTTCCTCCAGGTCTTCTCCAAGATCTTTAGCCATGAAGCCCTGGAGAGCTACCTGCCCAAGATCCAGCTGGTGATCCAGGACACACTGCGGGCCTGGAGCAGCCGCCCTGAGGCCATCAATGTGTACCAGGAGGCCCAGAAGCTCACCTTCCGCATGGCCATCCGGGTGCTGCTGGGCTTCAGCATCCCTGAGGAGGACCTCGGGCACCTCTTCGAGGTCTACCAGCAATTTGTGGAGAATGTCTTCTCCCTGCCTGTAGACTTGCCTTTCAGTGGCTACCGGAGGGTGAGTACGCAGGGCCTGGGTAAAGGGGCATGGGGGGCATCCTTGAGGCCACCCTCTGGGAGGCACCAGGGCATATGGATGGCAGAGAGAGAGGCGTCATGGCTGATTGGGTGTGGCCCTGCTCTTCCCCGTGGTGACGGCTTCTTCTCCCTCCAGGGCATTCAGGCTCGGCAGACTCTCCAGAAGGGGTTGGAAAAGGCGATTCGGGAGAAGCTGCAGTGCACGCAGGGCAAGGACTATGCAGATGCACTGGACATCCTCATTGAGAGCAGCAAGGAGCACGGGAAGGAGATGACCATGCAGGAACTGAAGGTGATGAGCAGCACCGTCTGTGCTTCCCGGGAGGGAGGGGAACCTGGCCATTTCGACCCACCTTGGTCCTGCCCTCACAGGCACCCTGAGCAACAGGGTGGCGAAGCGGCTAAGCCAGAGTGGAGACATGTTCCTGCCCCTGCAGTGCAGGATGTGGAGGGGCTGCCCTCCTCTCCCAGGGTGTGCTATGAGCTGAGCAGCAGGCAGCTCAGGGCTAAACAGCCCTGTTCTGTTTTGAGCAGCCCACACGGTGGCTTGTCCTCAATGTCCTGGGCGCCCTATGGCCTCCATGCCCATAGACCCATTCACATCTTGAAAAAGATGCTGCCAATCAGCCCTTAGCAGTTCCCAGACAGGCTGAGTGTCAGTGGCTTGATACCCTCCACGTTCACTGTCTCTCTTGGCCCCAGTAGCCCCGGGGGCACATGTAAGGAAGTGCAAGCCTGGGGGGACGGGGGAGAAGTATTTGTCTGAGTCACTGTCTCTCCCCACCTGCACTGCTCAGCCCGGCTGTTTGGGTGTATGGTCCACCAGGGGTGGGGGGCAGTTTGCTAGTGTATCCCTATCTGCGGTCTGCTTGCCCACACCCTTGCCAGGATGCCCACAGAGATTTACTGGAGACTCCCCATCCCCACTGTCTTTGTTCCCCATAATCCAGCTCCACCTTGTTCCCTGGGGAGCCAGGAACAGGTCGGAATGACTTCCCTATTTCACAAGAAGCTATGTGGCTCGTGGTTGGCAAGTAAGGGACCTATTCCCCTTCATCGCCTCTCAGGGCCCAGGATCCACATTTCTAAAATGCGGGACTAGGAATGCAATGACTGCCAGGCCCTTTCTGTGGAGCACTCAGGGCCCTGATGTCCTGCTCCCCAAGAACCCTGAAGTGGTCCTTACATCCTCTGGGAGCTCCTTCCCGGCCTTTTCACTGCAGACCCATCCTAGGTCCCTAGCAGTGTGGCTCCAGGCTGCCTCCCCTACCATTTGTCAGACAGCTCCCTCCTGAGGATCAAGGAAGGAGCTGGGGCTGGGCCCCCCACCCCATGTGCACACATACCCTGGCCAGCATGTGCCGGCTCCTTGGGATTTGCTATTTTTCCTCTGCGCTGTCCAGGCCTGCTACGGCTGCCCAGGAACCCAGCAGTGAGTTCTACCCCCATGGCACTACCCCAAGGGCTAACAGGATAGTGCTTCTGCCCCAGGTCATAATGGTTGTGTGTTTCCTGTCCAGCCAGGGACTGGCTGTGACCCTTTTGTCCACTGTGGTCCCAACATGCCAGCAACATTAGACTCAGAAGGGACAGAATTCACCACAGGAACTGGGCAGGGCCTGCCGCAGGCCCTGGGCACAGGATGCTGGCAGGACAGGGCAGCCTGCAGGCTGGGCCCGCCTGGCAAAGCCCAGAAGGCCAACGGTACCTCTTCTCTCTACCACTGCAGGATGGGACCTTGGAGCTGATCTTCGCGGCCTACGCCACCACGGCCAGTGCCAGCACCTCACTCATCATGCAGCTGCTGAAGCACCCGGCCGTGCTGGAGAAGCTGCGGGAGGAGCTGCGGGCCCAGGGCCTGCTGCATAGCGGCGGCTGCCCCTGCGAGGGCACCCTGCGCCTGGACACGCTCAGCGAGCTGCACTACCTGGACTGTGTCATCAAGGAGGTCATGCGCCTTTTCACACCCATTTCCGGCGGCTACCGCACCGTGCTGCAGACCTTTGAGCTCGATGTGAGGCTGGGCCCATGGGGGGCTGGGAAGGCATGCTCTGGGGGTCAGCCTGACGGATGGGCAAGACCAGCTTCCACACGAGTACATCGGGGTGAATGGGAGGCAGGGAGGGCTTGCTTTCAGGGAGTGTTCAGACTGATGAGAGAGAGGCACCCTCAAATGCACGTGGGGCGAAGCCAACCTAGCTGACGTATGGGAAGTTGCATGTGGACATCTATAAATTAGAGACTGGACTAATAGCACGCTGAGCCAGGTGAGGCTGACAGGCCTGGGGATCCATAAGAGGTTCTCTAGGAAGAGGCAGATGTTGAACATCTGGGAGCAGGTATGGACAGCCAGACCCTAGGCCTTCTCCTGGCCTCCCCTGTCTCTCACCACATGGCTCCTATCTTCCTCCAGGGTTTCCAGATCCCCAAAGGCTGGAGTGTCATGTACAGTATCCGAGATACCCACGACACAGCGCCCGTGTTCAAAGATGTGACCGTGTTCGATCCTGACCGCTTCAGCCAGGCCCGGAGTGAAGACAAGGACGGCCGCTTCCATTACCTGCCGTTTGGCGGTGGCGTCCGGACCTGCCTTGGCAAGCACCTGGCCAAGCTGTTCCTGAAGGTGCTGGCGGTGGAGCTGGCCAGCACCAGCCGCTTTGAGCTGGCCACCCGGACCTTCCCCCGCATCACCCTGGTCCCTGTCCTGCACCCCGTGGATGGCCTCAGCGTCAAATTCTTTGGCCTGGACTCCAACCAGAACAAGATCCTGCCGGAGACGGAGGCCATGCTGAGTGCCACAGTCTAGCGGTGCCAGCCTGCACCCTGCCTCAGCCCAGCCAGGCAGGGCATGGGGCACGGGAGGTAGAAACCTGTGTGTGGGAGGGGGCTAAAACCTGGGGAGGGCCAGCACCCCGATTCTGGCCCTCATCCTTGTCCCCCCGCCCCCTGCAAACCCTACCCAAAGCCAAAAGGGTCCCTCCTGTCTGGGGATGGGCTCCCCTTCTGGCTCCTGCTTCCCTCCAGGCTCTCCCCAGTTGCCACCTGCTCTGCTCCTGTAGAGGGCGGGGCAGGGGCTGCGTGCCTGTTACAGTGTTAAGTGTCGGTCAGCTGTGCTGCAGTGTGCGCTCCTGATGTCCTCGGCTGGCTCTTCCCTCTAGCTCCCTTCGGACCCTTTTACTGGGAGGTCAGGTGGCTGAGCTGGGGGAAGGAGGAAGAGAGGGGACCCGACCCCCCCCCAGGTGCTTTCTTTAGTGCCCCACCCTCTCCTGCCACTGCTGGGCAGGGGCAAGGGCCCCTGGTGCTGCGGCTAAACAGCACCCCTGGTCATAGAGTCACTTTTGGCAGAGGCAGGGGCTGCCACCAGCCTGGAGCGCCCCCCCAACCCCCACCAGTTTGGACATTTGAAATTACCTATTGCTGCTACTTGTTCTCTCCTCTGACCTTGGGGCAAAGGAGCCCCAGGCCCTGTCCCCCAGCATCCTCCCTGGTGGCCCTGGATGAGTGCACGGACATCCCCACCTTCCTTCCAGGCAGGACCCCACTGAGCCAGGTCCCCTCCTGCTAAATGCATACCCAACTGAGGCCCTGGGCTCACGGGCTACCTGCCCTCTCCCCCACTCCCATATTTATTCACTGATAGAGAATCTTGGTCTGGAGCAAACATCTCCCCAGCCCCTAGCCTTGGTTCCAGCCAGCCCGGGCAAGACTTCTGAGAGTGAAGAGAGAGGGGTCACTGGTCAAAGCAGCCTCCTCTGCATCCTAGGGTTGAACTGCTGTCCCAGGCTCCGACACTACTTGGGTTTAACCTCAGATCCTCACTCCTGGGTTGAAACTCAGCACCTCTGCCCGTTGTCCTTAATGGAGATGGGGAATGGCTTTGTGCCTCCTCCTGCGCTGTCCAAAGCCCTGATCACGTGGATTTGGAAACTACCACGCTTTCCTGCATGGCCACTGTTCACACCCTCACCCCTGCTAGTGAGTATGGAGAAGGATACGGGTTCTATTGACGGGGAGCGAGGGCCTCGTCTTCCCTCCTTAACCTGACCCTCTGCCCTTAGCCCTAGGAAAGCTGTCCTTGAAGTTCCTACCACCTCTGTGCCGCTGTCTGCTCAGCCCAGCTCAGGGGTGCGGGAATAAGAAGAAAGCAAGGGGGAGGTGGGCGGAAGGCAGTTCTTCCTCAGGCTGACTCCAGGTCCTCAGGGACTCGAGAGCGCTGCAGGGAGGCTGCAGAGAGCCAAGAGCGAGAAGGGGGGCGTACGTGCGATTTATCAGAAATGACTTGGTTGAAACCAGGCCAATGAGGGGATGACTGGGCAAAAGAGGCATGGCTCTTGCCACTGACATTTAGAGTGTTGACAATTTGGGAAGCTCCTGGGGATGTTTTGGGGGGCCTTGGTGAGTCTCTAAGCAGTTTTGTCTGTTCTCAGATTTTTCTTTGCTTTTCGTGTTTCTCACTTAGTTTTTGAGTTTATAAAAACAAGGAATCCTCTTTACTAAAAACAAAACAAAACAAACAAACACAAACAAAACAGAAGGATTACAATGCATGATGACCTACCCCACCTGCCGCTGTAAGCATCTCAGGGGTCCCTTCAGTAGACAGACCTGTGGATAGACCTAGTCCCATCTGCCCTGAAGGTAGACTTTATGGGCTAACACCACACAGACTATTCTAGAACCCCTGGTTCTCAAAAGGCTTGTTTCCAGTGTTTTTGCTATTATAAAAACTGTGGAATAGGTATTATTGGCAAAAATTGAAAAACGATTTTAAGTTAGCAAAAATTCCTGATACGACTTCCCATCCTCCAAATTCTGAAAAATGGCCCATAATGGGTAAGACTCATCAAAGCTTGCAAAATAGCTGCATGGTGCACCAGAATCTGTTACCCACAAAAAGCCCAGTGTATGGAAGTTTCATTTTCCTCTGACTGAGTACCTAGGAGTGCAGTAAGTGACACTTCAGACTGGAAGCCCTCCAGGCCTAGGGAGGGGGCCCAGGGCTAGAGCACTGTGGGTGGCCTCAGGAGCCTTCCCTTCAGGTGGCGAGCTGAGGAGGGGTAGAGGACAAGCCAAGGGGGATTCCTGTGAGGAAGAAGAGAAGGATCATTTGCCCTGTTGGGTCTCAAAGGCAACGAGGAGAACTGAAGAATGCTCTGGCTGGCTGACGGATTTCAAGGCTGCAATTCGCCCGTCTCCCCTCTCGATCCGTACTGAGACCCGTACTGTGTGTGTTCCTGTGTGTGTTTCCTAGAGGTAGCAATTAGATGGGTGATGTTTTCTCACTTACCATTCCTAACTATTGTAACTTGACATTAAAAAGACAAAACCCCACAAAACTCTCCCTGCCATGGGCTTTGCAGATTGAAGCACTTTTGATGTCGGGCGCTGGCGTTTGTATTCTGGGCACCAACCTGACCCTGCCCGGATTGCTCTAATATTATTTTATACACAAACTTTTTTTTTTTCATAAATGTTTTAATTTTGTGTCTGTCTTTATAAACTATTATAAGTACTATTTTTGTTATAATTCAAAATAGATATTTAGTATAAAGTTTTTGCTGTTAAATATTTGTTATTTAGTAAAATATGAATTTTTCCTCTATTGTAAACATGGTTCAAAATATTAATATGTTTTTATCGCAGTTGTTTTAATATTGAAAAAGCACTTGTGTGTTTCGTTTGGATATGAAACTGGTGCCGCGTGTTTTTGCTGTCATGTGATTTTAATCTGTATATAATATTCCATGTCGCATATTAAAAAAAAATGAATGTTGTGCATTTCGTGATTTCGGGAATACTCGATGTGGCTCTTTTATAGGCTTCCGTAATAAACCGTGGGGACTCACCTTGTCTCCTTTGCCTCTTTGGTCTCTGCCTTCTCAGCCTTGCTGAAGGGACACCCTGGGTCACAAACATTGGCATCAGTGGTGCTCAGTCCATCCCAGAGTTGGGGAGTTCTGCCCTGGGCTGCCTGGCCCATGAGGCGACCCTACACAGGAGTCTGTAGTAGGGACTGGGAGGGGCAGGTTCCCTCAGACGATGTCATTGGTTAGCCTATTGGGGACAGTCGGGGTGGGGACGCGGTGGAGGGAGGCGGTGAGAGTTCAGTTCCAGGCCCACTGTGGCTGGGACTGGCTCCACCAGGTGTCTCGGGGCCAGACAAGATGATCCAGAGCCCAGGAGCCCTGTTCTGAGAGAGCATCTTGGATAACTGAGCAAGAACGTTGGTGCCCACAGCCACATGGCAAACTGGAGAGCAGGATTCAGTTGTGACTTCCGGCCACTACCTCATCCCAGCATTTGGCAAAAGCTTTCTTACTGGTGTGGCAGGGTCGAATAGATTCCATGATCGAGGGAGTTTGGGAAATGGGTTAGACAAAGTTAAGCAGGTTCCTTCACTGCAAGACTTCTCAGAACTCGGAGCCCTGGGATGGGTGGCCTAAGGGGCAGTGATGCTGGGGGGAACACAGGCTGGTCTTCTCCAAGCCTCCTTGATGACTGAAACCTGGTCTTGCTGGTTTTCTCATGTCATGGAAAGCCCCTCCACGGTCTGACTATCACAGAGGCCAAGAGGAGGACCAGTAAAGGGTGGGACCTCCAGAGCAGAGACTAGCAACACCGGGGCGGTCCCAGGGCATAGGGGACTGAGGGTAGCACAGGAGGGCAATAGGAGACATGCCTGGAGACCCCAAGCCACAAACTAGGAGCAGGAAGGACCCGGCCAGGCCAGGGAAGGACTGCAGTATCCAGGATGGTCCCATCTTGTTATGCCTGGTGCCCAGCCTCAAGCTGTCCTGAGAAAGGCCTTGGTGTGGCTGCAGTGCTTCTTTCTGATAGACCCAACCTGGATTAGAGCACACTGCTTGACACACCTGGGGCATAGCACCCCCAGTTGAGAGGTACCCAGCCTCTGAGCACTGCTGTCAGGGCAGGGTGCCCAGCACGCTGACTGCCCATGCATCCGCCTACTTCACTTTCCTGTCCCCTCTATGCTGGGTCTGCCCCTCCCAAGGCCTTGTAACCCTCCACCTCCTGGGGCTGGGAGTTGAGAGCAGAGTGAGTCCCCTGTTCTCCCTAAGACAAAGCAGTGGCTTTCCCAAGGCCATACAGAGGCAAAGGGCAGTCTGGCGTCTGCCTGCTCTGAGGGGTGCCCTTGGATGGCCTCCAGCGGTGAAAGCCCCAGCCTCCCAGAGAAAGAAGCCAGGCAGCGTTTCCCGGAGTGTGAATTCCATCTCCCCCTGTGGAATGTCTTGGGCAGCAGCAGCAGTGAAGGAAGTGTGGTCCCCGGCTGCCCTTGGCCTGACCACCCTGCCATGGGGCGGGGCAGACAGGGGCCCTGTCATCACCCAGTTTGTCCTGGCCTCTCCCATGTGGGCCAGGCAGGTCAATGACGTCCCCCACACGGCTGCCTGCCCCCGGGATCTCCTGGCCTGGAAAGAGAACACAGGCCACTGTGGACAGGCAAACACGGACACTGTTTGTCCAGGGATTGGGGCGCCAGTTTGGAGGGAACTCGCAGACCGCACACTCTGCCGCCTCCCAGCACTTTTCCAAAACAGCTTGGCCTTGGCTGTGCCTTGCTGCCCAGGGTGGCAGGAGGCTGAGAGCCAGGGACAGAGCAGGGGAAAGCAAGGCCTCCAGTCCAGCAGGGTGAGGTGACCAGGTGAGGACAGAGACGCCGCTCTGCCAGCTCCGCTCAGCTCTACGTGCCTTGGATGGGAAAGAGGGAGATGGAGGGAAGGTGGGAGAGAAAACGACTCTGTGAGGCTGTGTCAGGGGCAGGAGGAAGCACAAACGTGACTCGCCTGAGTTAGCAGGCTGGGCGGGCTCCACTGGTGGTAGGCTCCTGGGCACTGAGTGCAGTAGAGGCCACGGGGGGAGGCAGCACACTGGGCTTCGGCTCAGCTCCCCCACATCTCACCCAGTTTCCCTTTCACCAGAACAGGCTAGTCTGGCTCAAGGTTTGGCCTCCACTGGTCTTGCCCACCCAACACTGCCTTCGCAGGAGACCCTTATTCCAGCCCCTTCAGACTTGACCTCTTCCCTGGAAAGAGAACGCTTCCTTTGGCCCCCAGCCTTCCGTTAGCCCCAAGCCTTGGTACTCAAAGACTCAGCCCCTGACAGCTGATCTCCCATCCTGCATAGGCTTCTATGGAAGTGGGTGCTATGACCCCTACCCCAGGGACTGCACCTGCCCTGGAGGCTGTTTGGAGTGCATTGGGGGGGGGTTCCTTGGATGGTGGTAGTCATGTGGCCAGAGTGTGAACTACCTGAAGATGTGGAAGGAAGGGGGGGGGTAATAATCTGGCAGTCAGGTGTGCCTGGCAGTCTGGACTACTATGTAGTCAACTGTGGTTTGAGTCCCAGACCCGGTGACTTAAACTCACGCTGGGCACGTGTGTGTGTCCAGGATCCTGAGAGAAGGGAGAAGGGCATGGCCATCACCCCTGGGGAGTGATTTCTGTTTTCTGTCTCTCTGTCTCTCTCTGTCTTTCTGGTGAGCACACGTGCTCTATAGCAAAAGCCTCTCAAAAAAAAAAAAAATTGCCACAAAGCATGTGTCTTCATCAGTGAGAGAGAGGGGGAAAAACGAGACCATGGGGCATGGTCATGCTGCAATCCCTTCTCCTCCATCTCCCTCCTTTCAGGATTTTTAGGCATGCATGCACAAATGCCTGTTATGTATCTCAAGCCACCATGTCCAGGACTCAAAGCATGCAGTTGACCATGGGGATCCAGCCACCTTGACTACCACACCATGAACTAACCTGGCTCCCTCCTTTCTGGCTGGTCTACATCCATAGAAGCCCTTTTTGCCTTGCCTGGTGTAGTTGTGACATTCTGGCATGCCCCTCCCTCCCATAGCTTCTGGTCAGGCTTAGATGCCCTCTGAGTCAAACTTGAGTGGTGTCCCTGGAGACATGCACTGAAGGCCTCACTTGGAGCCATACTGCAGTGGCTGTACTGCACCCCCACAAGGACTCTACTGGGCCCTGTTTAAGTCACATGTCCACCTCTGTCAGTGTTGGGGGCAGGGGGTGATGTGTGATCAGCAGCCTAAGGTAAAGATGGGAGGGAAGTGTGGGAGGAGGCAGGTGGAACCGGAACTTACTCCGAAGCAGAGCCAAAGGGAAGGGAAGGAAGCAGCAAGAAAGGGGAAGACAGGGTGCTGAAGCCTGTGCCAGGAGCAAGAAGGCAGGGTGGACAATGAATGCATTTTAAGAGTCAGATCATGGCCTAGCAGCAAGGCGTGTTGCTCTGTGAGGCAGTCCCACATGGGAAAACTGGTTCAAGGGTTCAAGTCTGGAGACTTCCTGAGTATGATGGGCTTGTGAGTGCCCATGATCTCTGCTGGGTGAAGACTGGGGTAGATCCCAAAATCAACACTTTGCCACGAATGCTATCTTTCTCTCCTTCTCTTTCTTATTCATGGGAAAAATAAATTTAAAAATATTTTTCAAAAAGTGGAGCTTTTAATGGAAGCCCCTGCTGCTTTGGGTAAGTTTGTGTGCATACCTGGCATCAAACATAACCTGCCATGCTTCCAAAGGCTGTGTGTGATTGTGTGTGTGTGCATGTATATGTGTGCATGTGCACACACATGTACTTTTTTACCTTCTCCTCCATTCTCTTCTCAGGATTTTTGGCACTCATGCATATGCACCTGGGGTGTTTTTCAAGACCCTGGGCCCAGAACCCAAACTGAGCAGTTGGTCATGTAGGATCCAGGCACCTTATCCAACATGCCACTGACTGGTCCCTGTACTTAAAAAAAAGCTAAAGATTTATTTTTATTATTCTTAGTTTATTTCTTCACTGAAAGTGAGAAAAAGAGACAGAGAGACAAGAATCCTTATCAGGAGCTCCATGCTTCTGCGATCTACCCTCAGGCTCAGTGGACCCAGATCCTGGTTAGGCAAAGCCACACAACATTGCACAGTGAGCTGAGGGAGGTCCTAGGACACGAGCCCAAGCTACATCCATAGAAGCCCTTTTTGCCTTGCCTGGTGTAGTTGTGACATTCTGGCATGCCCCTCCCTCCCATAGCTTCTGGTCAGGCTTAGATGCCCTCTGAGTCAAACTTGAGTGGTGTCCCTGGAGACATGCACTGAAGGCCTCACTTGGAGCCATACTGCAGTGGCTGTACTGCACCCCCACAAGGACTCTACTGGGCCCTGTTTAAGTCACATGTCCACCTCTGTCAGTGTTGGGGGCAGGGGGTGATGTGTGATCAGCAGCCTAAGGTAAAGATGGGAGGGAAGTGTGGGAGGAGGCAGGTGGAACCGGAACTTACTCCGAAGCAGAGCCAAAGGGAAGGGAAGGAAGCAGCAAGAAAGGGGAAGACAGGGTGCTGAAGCCTGTGCCAGGAGCAAGAAGGCAGGGTGGACAATGAATGCATTTTAAGAGTCAGATCATGGCCTAGCAGCAAGGCGTGTTGCTCTGTGAGGCAGTCCCACATGGGAAAACTGGTTCAAGGGTTCAAGTCTGGAGACTTCCTGAGTATGATGGGCTTGTGAGTGCCCATGATCTCTGCTGGGTGAAGACTGGGGTAGATCCCAAAATCAACACTTTGCCACGAATGCTATCTTTCTCTCCTTCTCTTTCTTATTCATGGGAAAAATAAATTTAAAAATATTTTTCAAAAAGTGGAGCTTTTAATGGAAGCCCCTGCTGCTTTGGGTAAGTTTGTGTGCATACCTGGCATCAAACATAACCTGCCATGCTTCCAAAGGCTGTGTGTGATTGTGTGTGTGTGCATGTATATGTGTGCATGTGCACACACATGTACTTTTTTACCTTCTCCTCCATTCTCTTCTCAGGATTTTTGGCACTCATGCA